TTCAAAATAAAATATTTAGGTGGCAACTCTGTATCTGGAACATCATCATTTACCTGGTATTACTTGATTTAAAATCGATTTTCCAAAAAGGTTTGCCGAACTTGGACCCTTTGGTGTTTATCAGTTTCATATTGCACTTGTGAGACTAGATTCAGAACCGCGGGAGTCCGAACTGTGAGGCCTTCTTTTCAAACCTTCCCAAAAGGCGGGGCGCTAGAAAAAGGCGAGTCCACAAATTGCAATTCATGTCATCATGTATAACAATAAAACACCCACAACCATGGAGATCATGTCACACATTCATCTACATGAGTCCAATTGAGAATAACCTTTACTTTTAGTTTTTAGAAAACAGCCCCCACATTTACTGGCTATTATACGGCGGGAGGTGGGCACCCAAAGGAAAACCATCCGTTTTTTCTACTTTCGCCGGCAATTATACGGCGGGGCTAGAACACATTATGATGAACTCATTCCTCTGAAGTCCTTTTATGTTAAAATATATATTTTTTATTTTATGAAAGAGATATATCCATAGATTCATTAGCATCCCAGTCGGGGGCTTGTTCTTCAAGAATTTGTTGGGCAGACATGTCCATTTCACAATCTGGTTAAGTGTGGTAACTTAATGGTCCCATTTAGTTTGGAACATCTAATCTATCATGCATAGATGCTAACTCTGGTTCACCAGGTTTCCAAGAGTTCATGGGACACAAAAGGGCCATTGAAATTCTGTGAAGTATATGGGATTGGACACATAACAGCCATTGGATGTGTTGTCTATTTCACGATATCATGCATTTATAGCTTTCTGATCCTGGAACCTGTATTTTTGTTTTTATTTTATTTTTTTTTTATTTTGCAGGTACTTTTATTTATTTATTTTATTTGTTCTGGCCATAATATTTAAAATTTTCCAATCTTCTCCTTGGTTGATGAGTGGTGGATATTTTGCAGGTTCATGATGCTGTCTTGGAGAAATGTTGCCGATATGCAGTTAATTCATTAGGGACAGAAAATACTCAAGATGTTCAATAAACATATGAGATTGATACACAAGATATTTGATAAACAGATGAGATTGATACATGACATGTGATTTGATAGATGTAACCTTACTAAATGAGCCGTCCTATTTTGGGTAGTTAATTATGAGAAGCGTATATTTTTTAATTATATGCAAGTAAAAATTATAATCAAGGAAGCAGGGGAAATTAAAATATGCTCCTGTGACTATTGTGATGTTACCACTCTACAGTTATTTTTTAAGGTTACCACAAAGGTGGTTGAAGATGTTATTTTTAGTTGACAACAGAGTGATGGTTAATATTGTTGTTTCTATATTTGATTCTGAGATTTTCCTATGGAACTGTGGGTTGAGTTAGTTTTTTCTGAATTGCAAAGAGCTAAGAGGGCTTTGGGTGACACTATTGCCAGGGTAATGGCAACTGTTACAAGGTCAATGCACAACAATGGGAACTATTGCAACACTGTGAATCTCGAGGATGCTGCTTTGTACAAGGGCCGACTTGAGAGATTCTTCATGGACCTGCGTGCTGATCTACAATCTCCAATGCTACCCATTATTCAGGTACATATTATCGAAGCCCGATTTGGATTCCAATTCATGTCATATGAAATCTTTTTGAATAATCTGGGTTAGATTGGAACTCATTTAATCAACTGCTTCAAAAGTTTGAAATTGATTTTTGGTTATATGAGGTAGGTGGCATTGGCATCAGGACAGGGACTTTATATTGAGAAAGTGAGAGAAGCTCAATCGGAAATACATCTTGCCCATGTAAAATGTGTGGATGCTAAGGGACTGCAGCTAGAACCAGATCATCTACACCTTACCACTCAAACCGAGGTTCAACTAGGCAAGATGTTGGCCGATGCATTCCTCCACACTCTGCCCATCCCACTCCAGAGTAATGCCCCCAAAACATCTCACAATTGATTTTTTTTTTTTTTTTTTTCCTCGTGTTTAGATATTTGAACTTCATAGTTGAAGAGGATATCAGTTGATTGTACTAACTTATTAATCAGGGCCAAAATATTGGCTAAAGAGTATATCATGCAATGAAATTTTGTCCAGTAAAGTCTTATTGTTGCGGTGGTGATTAGTAGTTTTGTTGCGGTGGTGATTCACATTTCTTTTCAATTTGTTGTCCCGAAGTCCTAAATAAAATTATTGCATTTACATGCATAGAACCCCATTAAAGAACATTCACAAGAGGTGGGGTCATAATGTGAGACTTCCCTTTTGTTCACCGATTTCTATGCACATTTTTTCCTTTTTTTAATAAAATTTTCCAGAGGCAATGGTGAGTAATGAATTCCAGCTCACAAACTAGCAATGTTATAGCAGGTCCAGCAGCTTAATGCTCATCCACCTCACTGATTAGAATAGAGAAAGGAACAGCTCTCCAACTTCAATTAATTTTTACTGTATTAGATAGTGACTTGGCACCAACCCAATCATCCAGCCAAAGATTGGGAATAAAGAATTCTGCACATTTCCAGCCCAATTTGATTTTAATTCCTTTTTCTTGACCATGTACGCTGAGTTTGGTTAAGAGATTTGAGAAAGAATTTAGAAAGAAAAAGAAAAATAATGTGTGAAACTAAATAAAATATAATCATGTTTTATTCACATTTCATTTACTTTTTTCATTTCTCTTTCCAAATCCCTTCTTAAATCCCTCAACCAAACACAGCAGTAAACTTTTTTTTTTTTTGGCAGCAAGGTAGCTACCAAGCTTGAGCCTAGCTGCTATCTTATCCAGAGTATCTTTAGACCTAAACACTTTCAAGCATGTAAAAATCGGATGGGAACTGAATTCTTCAGTCGGCAACAACAGAAAAGAAATATGGAGCTTTTTGCGAAACCAAACGTTTTGAAGCGTTTTCTTTGTCTATGTGATGCTTACATGGTTCCCTACTTCTGTTATACCAATGTTACTGTTTAAAAATTGCCAGTAGTTTAACAACTGTTTCAATTCTTTTCTTCCTTTTTTTTTAACTTCTAATCTGGGTTAAATAAAATTACAATTTCAATCAAAGTGTAGATCAAACAATTCAACAACATTACATCAAATACAGAAATGGTTAGCATTTTCTACCAAAAACCGAAAGGGCAAAAATAATCACCATTATGTCGTGAAAACAAGAGTTCACTGTTTCATTTATGGTAAAGACGACATAAAATAGAATGTCAAACGGATGAAACAGAAGCTGTATAAGAACCATTATTGTACTTCAAACCTTTTAGAAAGGCAGAACGCAAGTGAAGAGAAAAAATGGTGTTTGAAATACCATAAGCGCTTCTACTTTCTTGCAAGCCTTCAACTGCTGTGGGTTGATGAGGATTCACTTTCTGGCAAATGGTCTCGAAGCCAACATTCAACCCAGTTGTGGTAGATTCCGTAACAAAACTGCATGTCACCAAAACTAATGCAAAAGCCACCAAGTAAATACAAAATAATAGCTACGCAATAATGCCAACACCCTTTAGAAAAATACAAAATAAATTCTAGAAAGCAATGTTATGATAAGGTTGAAATCTGCCTGCATTGGCTCATGTACACCACCATCATAGGATAGGCTACATATCATTAATCCCTGAAAGAAGCATTGTGTAAGGACTTAGTCCATTCTTATGTATTAGCGTACAGATTTCACGCATTACGATTTTTCCAAGCATATTGATTGTTCATCACGAGGCTTTTAATTGTTTTCTCAAGAAAATGCCATGTAATCGAGTAAGAGTGAATTCTAGCCCTTTGATGATATTTGTGTGAGTCTATGAGTTTGAGTTGCACCTTTAATTGTATGTGATAGGGCATTGTGAGCTTACCACAAGCTAGACTGTACCTTTGTGCCATGTGTCCCAAACCTATGTCTATATGACATCCCATTAGAGTGCACTAACCCTTTAGTGGAGTCAGTTACATTATGGTTTCTCAATTCCATAACCAACCTATTATAGCAAAGATATAGAGAGAGGGAGACAGTGAGAGTTGATCAGCCAAAATATGGAGAAGGAAACACATGCAAATGCAACCCTAGAGAGATACCCCATGAACAATCCAGGAACCATCAATTACAACCACTAACAACTATATTTTTTGCTGGGGACTACCATACTTCATGATCAACACAAATAAAACATTAATCTTAGAAATCAAGTGGGATTTTGTTGAAACATCTGATGGACCCAAGTATTGCCCACTTAGAATGCCACCCATTCTAGAGACTTCAATTAGATATTTACTTCCTTTCTGATGAATCGAATTTAGAATCATAATGGATCAGAAAACAAAAACAAAAAAATGCAAAAAGAACAGCAAAACTTTATAAAGGCAAGATTTTTTCAGCAACGACATAAAGATCCATCTTCAATATGGTCCATAAAGTGAAAATTTGTGTATCAGTGTCAGAATTTTTCATACCTTGCCTCAAAGCTCATTCCCTCAGAGCACATGGCTTCACAAAAACTGCTGATTACCCATGGAGGAAGATATGCATCCTTGATTTCAATGCTATAGCAGAAACCAGAAGATGAAGATTCATCTTTCATGTTGAATTCCTTTAGAGGAAAAGATATATTATCAGCCCTTCTCACTTCCTTGCATCTAACCTACAAAAGAAGGCAAACAAACATGTATTAGCAGGATTATGTTTTTTGTATAACAATTGTGGCACAATCCAAGTTGTAGAAAGAACAACAATCAATCTAGTTTTAACAACATAAGATTCATGGCCAAGAATGAAATAGCATACAGTAAAAGAAGTATATTTAAATAAGGATATGCTATAATTTCTAACTTATCTAATAGGATAAATCAAAAGTAACTATGATGTTTGTAAGGGTCTTTACCCAGTTTCATGTGAAGCAACTTTGGCTTTTGGTAGTAAGTTTATACTTCTATTTTTATTTTTTTTTAATTGTTTTTTTCTTAAAGTGGTTTAGCTAGTTCACAAACTAGCATAGACACAGTTTTGCTAGTCCCCTGCACAAACAAGGCAGATTCTAGGTTATGGATTTTGGATTCTATCAGAGAAATTGCATCTTGTTCCTAATAGATCAGGCAGTAAGCACGCACAGTGTTACTCTCAACTCTAGGCAACAAAAATGAGACACTAAGACTCTTCAGAGAAAAGAGAGTTTGAGGACCTCTAAAAGTTAATAGAAATCCACATTACTAATTCAAAAAGGAACTGAAAATTCCCTTCGCCATTTAATTTTCAAAGAAGAAAGCTTCAATTGCCTAGTGCATCCAGCAAAAACTAATAAATTTGCAGTTAACCAATTATAAAATTTCCATAGCATAATGGTGTAATATAACAAAATTTGAGTAATACTATGGAAGACAAAGCAAAGCCAATTCCAATTGAGTGGATAGAAATAGCAAAGATTCAAAAAGCTTGTTTACCAATGCACATACTAAGCAGCCCTACCTCTGGACAAGAAAGGGCAGCGTTTTGAAATGGTACTGGTGAATATAATACAGGAACATCCATACTAGTCAAAGAGGTTAATAAAAATCTGGAAAAATGGCAGCCAAAAAAGATGAAATTAGAATCCAGTGATAGAATTAAATAGAAAAAAAATTCTTTAATATATAAAAAAATGTAAATAATATAAAGGTCAAGTTTTCTCCCTTTCTTTCAGTTTAAAGGGTACTGAAGACATATGTGTTGTAATCAGACATGATATTCATATACCCACCTATAATTTAATAGAAAATCATATAACCCATGCACATTCTGGTTTCCATTGAATGCGAGCAAAGATTGTGGGCTATTATCCACGTTAGACATAGAACTCTGGCGACGAATCTGCATGAAAGATAGGATGGCACCAATTAATGATAAAGCACAAGAAAGAACTCAAGAAGCAGCATGGTAGGTAAAAACCATTGAAATGGCACTAATGTTTGTACAAGAACACTCCAGCTAGCCAGTAGGATTGTCATGTCTCTGCTAAACATCAGTCGTGCTCCCAACTACTCCCACTAAGAAAACTTGAACCATTTTGTCATTCTATTCTATCAAGTGTTATACACTCAGTCAAATTAACTGAAGTTCTTATTTGACTACTGCATTTCAAGTTAATTTAGATCTTTCTCTCCTAAAATTGGGATTCTATGTTGAGTCATTAAAAAAGGGTTATAGGTCAACGATCATAACATCCTACTCGTAACAATTTGTATGTGAATTAACATTTTTGAGAAGTATATACAAAATGAGTCTAAATTATACCAAAACAAAGAAATTAAAAAAAAAAAAATTTGTTAAAAATATAAAGAACCGTGTTTTGTAAGAAATATACAACAGAAAACTCAGTAGGAAAAACTTTGCATTTCATTAAAAATTAAAAACAAAAGAGAGATGGAGATGCACTGCTTTGAAACTAAGCAATTTTGTGTTCAAGTAGAAATTCATAAAAAGAAAAGTAAGAAAAAATAAATAGAGATAGATTTGGGAAAGTAGATTGAACACACACACACACACACACAGTTCTGAAACACCTTAGAAGAAAAAAGAAGAGTTATGTGATACACCCAAAAAGCAAAGAAAAAATTGAACAAGAGCATTGTACTCGGTGTGCAATTAAGATTTTAAAAAGAAGAAAAGAAAACATAATTTTTATAAATTAAAAAAAAAAAAAGGGCTCTCTAAGACATCAAAAAGTATGAGACAGAAGATAAATTGATATTAGGTTATTTGATTCAATAATACTACAATACAAATCTAGACTTAACTGTCCAAAATTGTCATCTTGTGATTTAAAATTATTCTACATATCAACTCCACATTACACAAATTTAATCTCAACTAGATAACTCTTATTCAGGATAAATAGAGGTACTTAAGTGGGTTTCATAGCATTTTTCTATTTGATTAAATGGGAGAAGGAAAAAAAAAAAGAAGGAAAAGGCAGTAGTTAAATGATACATATGCAATGAGGGAGATATATGACAACGTATAACTGGAGAGAAAAATTTCTCCTAGCCGAGAGAGAGATACTCAAATTACAATAATGTACATTCAACATTTTCAAACTGCAACAATATTTGAATCTCTATCGGCTTAATTTGTATTTCTTATCCTATTCAATCCAACATGACCTATTAATGTTCAGTTTGAACATAAGTGTAAAATGTGTATTTTAAGCCACAAACACAAATATACAAACAAAAATTCACATACAATGGCAAGAATTAACAAACCGGTGTCTTGTAATAAGGATAAGCACCCCAATTTATTCTAATTGTCTTCGTCCGCACACTACAATGGCAAGAATTAACAAACCATCAAACATTTTGAACTTCTGATAAATTCAGTTATCTAATTGGTCTATGAAAATCAATGAAATTCTGCTAATTAGGCACTCTATATATTATGTGATGCTTGCTCACATCTTCAAACTATCAAGTTTAGGTTTTCCACTTATAACAGTTCCTTTTAAAACTTCAGGATTTGTAATTGGGACATTAGCACATATTAAATAAATCTTCCCACAACACAAAGAAACTACTAAAATGAAAAAAAGTAATAGATCAGTCTTTCCTGCAATAATTAAATGAGATTTACGGCTTACCTAAAAATGCGATCCAGCAATGCATCTGCTACTGGTTCACGAGAGAATATCTTGTAGCTCATATCATTCTCACCATGTTGCTTGAGAACAGAAATGCTTGTGAATGGAAGATCAGAACTCTCTACAGTACCCACCAGTTCTAGAATTGCTGATGCAGAATGCAGGCCAAAATATGCCTTGGCCACAGCAAACCGTCAATATTTAGCAAATTGAAAGATGATATGCAGTAGGGGGAAAACAGTGTAACTAAGCATATGAGTAATGAATTTTTGAATGCTACAAGTAACTGTTAGAATACTCACTAGATTCAAGAATCCCCTCACAAAAGTTGCATGGGTATGTTGTAACTGCCCATTAGGAATTAAAAATGTAGGCGTAAAGTTGAGAAGGCCGACGCTGCTGCTGCTCCGACGCTGCTGCTGCTCCGACGCTGCTCCTCCTCCTCCGACGCTGCTCCTCCGCCGCTCGACGTCGATCGAGAGAGAGAGAGAGAGAGAGAGAGAGAGTGGGGAAAAAGAGATTAGGGACGCTGCTCGCCGGAGAGAGAGAGAGAGAGAGAGAGAGCGCCATAAGAAGAGATTAGGGATTTTTGATTTTTTTGTTTTTTTTTTTGGGGGGGGGAGGGGGATGGAAAAAAAAAAGGGGGCGGGAATAAAAAATAAAAAAATAAATTTTTTTTGAGCCACAAATGAAATTTAAATAATAAAATAACGTCGTTTAATTTTTTTTTTGCGGCGGTGGTTGTCGTCGTCAAAAAAAATTATTTTTTGTTAAAATATATATTTTTTGTAGTTAATGAATTTTTTTTTAAAAATTATTATTATTTTTTATTTAGTAGAAGTATGGGTAATATTTTAATGAAAAATATTTTCCACTAAAATAAAAGTTAATTTTTTGTAGTCAATGAAAAATATTTTTCTGCAGCCTTTTTTTTTTTTTGTTACTAAAAATCATGAACTAATTTTTTGTGGTAGAGGAAAGGGAGCGGCAGTAGTGGTGAAGGTGGTAAATAAGAGATGATTGTGATGGTGATGGTGATGGTGATGGTGAAAGAGATTAGTAGTGAAGTTGTGGTAGTGGTAGTGTAAATAGAGTGACAGGGGTGAATGAGAGGTAATGGTAGTAGTAGGGGTGATAGTGGTGGTAATGAAGTGGTGACGATGGCAGTAGTAATGGTAGTCGTAGAGGTGAAGTGGCGACAGTGGAAGTAGTGGTGGTGGTGGAATAGCGTTTGTAGTAGTGGTGAAGGTGATAGAGGAGATGAGTGGTGAGAGAGATAAATGAGTGAGAGACAGATAGAGGAGAGAGAGAGAGAGATAGAGTGATGAGCGAGAAAGAGACAAAGTAGTCGCTAAAAGTGCATTTTCTTGTAGTGGATTGATAAATCTAGAAGGAGCATAGTAAATAGAGAAGACGGGAGTGAGAGAGTGAACAACGCAAACACAGTGAGAGAGAGAGAGAGAGAGAAAGAGATAGAGAGTGAGAGATAGAAAAGAGACATAGAGAGAAGAGAGATGAACGAGAGAGACAAAGAGAAAGATAGAGAGAATAGAGATGAGCGAGAGAGACAGAGAAAGATGAGAGAGATAGAGAAAAGAGAGATGAGCGAGAGAGATAAAGAGAAGAGAGATGAGCGAAAGAGACAGAGAGAGAAAAGAGATGAGAGAAGAGATAGATGAGTGAGAGACACAGAGAGAGAGAGACAGATAGACAGAGAGAGAAAAGTGATGAGTGAGAGAGAGAAAGAGAAGAGAGAAAGGAAGGAAGATGAAAAAATGGATGAAAAGATATAGACAAAGAGAGAGAGAGAGAGAGAGAGAGAGCGAAAAGAGATAAACAAAAGAGGGAGACAGAGAGATGAGCGAGAGAGCGAGAGAGATAAAGAGGAGAGAGAGAAGAGAGGCACAGAGAGAAGAGAGATGAGAGAGATAAAGAGAAGAAAGATCGACGAGAGGCACAAAGAGAAAGAGAGAGAGACAGACAGATAGAGAAGAGTGATGAATGATGAGTGAGAGAGAGAAAGAAAAGAGATACAGAGACATAGAGAGAAAGAAAGAGACAGACAGACAAAGAAGAGTGATGAGTGAGAGAAAGAGAGATAAGAGAGACAGAGACACATAGAGAAAGAGAGAGACAGACAGACAGAGAAGAGTTATGAGTGAGAGAGAGAAATAGAAGAGAGACAGAGACAGAGAGATAGAAAGATGAAAAAATTGGTAAAAAGAGAAATGTTCAAAAGAGAAAGACGACGTCGTTTTTATTTTTTTTATTTTTTTTTTGTAACAGAAAAATACCGTTGCATTTATTTAAACCATTTTATGACTATATATATATAAAGCCGTCTCAAAGCCACAATATATATATATTTTTTAAACTTTTTTTTTTGCAACGGTACGTATTACGATCGCAAAAAACTCTTCTTTTTTTTTTCTTTTTTTTTTGCAACTACAGCTGGTACCGTCCCAAATACTCTTCTTTTTTTTTTTGCGACAACAATTTCTGTCGTCGCAAATACTCTATTTTTTTGCGACGGCAAGTTGTGCCGTCTCAAAAAGTCACATTTTTTTGAGACGAGAAGTTGTGCCGTCTCCAAAAGTCATATTTTTTGCCACGACAAGTTGTGCCGTCTCAAAAAGTCACATTTTTTTAGACGTCAAGTTGTGCTGTCTCTAAAAGTCACATTTTTTGAGACGGCAAGTTGTGCCGTCGCAAAAAGTCATTTTTTGCGATGGCAAATGTGCTGTCGCAAAAAAGTTCCGCCTCATAAGCCCACTTTTCTTGTAGTGTGGTGTGGTTATGAGATATGTGATTAGTGGTTATGAGTAAAGTGGTGTGGTTATGAGCCAAAGAATGTTGGTTATGAAATATGTGATTAGTGGTTATAAGTAAAGTGGTATAGTTATGAGCCAAAGAGTATTGATTATGAGATATATAACTAATGGTTATGAGATATGTGATGTTAATTATGATCAAAGTGGTTTGACTATGAGCCAAAGGGTGTTATGAGATATGTGATTAGTGGTTATGATATATGTGATGTTAGTTATGAGCCAAAGAGTGTTGGTTATGAGATATGTGGGTAATGGTTATGAGATATATGATTGTTGTTTATCAGATATGTGATTTTGGTTATGAGCAAAGTGGTGTAGTTATGAGTCAAAAGAGTGTTTGGTTATGAGATATGTGATTATTAGTTATAAGATATGTGATATTGGTTATGATCAAAGTGATGTGGTTATAAGCAAAAGAGCGTTGATTATGAGATATGTAATGTTGGTTATGAGTCAAAGGGGGATTGGTTATAAGATGTGGTTATGAGTTATATGGGTAATAGTTATGAAATATATGATTAATGTTATAAGAT